CACCTTCTCCACAAGAAGCCATCAGAGCTTTGAGGTTACATGTCATCTCCCAGCGTGCCTGGGCGGGAGGGTGGACTGGAATTAGAGATGAAGTGAATGTGGATGGGTTTTAGAATTTGACTTTGGACTTCTGCTGCTGGAAGGTGTCTCACCAAGATACCTGCTCTGTATTTCTACCAGCAAGGGACGTGCATCTCCTGCAGAACCTGTCTGGATGATAGATCTCCTCTTGTCAGTCTCATAAACCCCCATGCAGAACTACTGGACTATGATTCTTGCCTTACGGTTTGGACACTGGACCTACATAGCTCAGAGGTGGCCAGCTGTGGACCGCTACCAAACCCATTCCTGAGACTTGTCAGCCTCACAGCAAACCATGGAGTCAAGCAGTGACTTCTAAAGTGAATCAGCACAGAGTGCTGCCATCAAAAGGCTTCCCATCCTGAGGTTGTTTTAGCTTCAGTCTGTCATCAGAGCTATCATTTATTCTCAAATCCAGATAAAATCCTCCCTGAGTAGGGAGGAAGCCCAAAGCCACAGAAGAGACGAAAGAGTCATTTAGGTGCAGGAGGAGGGGACAACAGGAGAGTTATGCAGATAGAAGGATACAAGGGCCAGCAATGCATGAACTGAGTAAGTCAGTCAGTAATGTACCTCCAGCCTACGAGGAGTATGCAGAGATCTCAGGTTTATATATACTCCGTGTAAAAGCAAGCACTTTGGGCTACACAGACAGTCTCAGCCTGAGTTTGAGGCAGCGCCCAGACTTCATATAACTTGTTGATGCAAGGTAGGTATTGATTTTCTCATCATAAGACATGAGAGGCTTCAAGTGATATCCACCCTCTCAGCATGGCATGGGCACAGTCAGGAGTTACTGCACACTTTCTTATCCTGAGGCAGGAGCAGCTCTGAGGTAATTCAGACACTCTCAGCACTGGGCAGGACAAGCTCACCTGTCAGTCTCTTGGGTTGCACACATGTACCCAGCCTGAGACAGGTAGACACAAGTTTAAGTGCAACCTTCTCAGCAGAGAAACCACTGTACAGGGGTGGGTGCTGCCTACCTGCTCTTTATTGTGACTCCTATTCAGGAGCATACGACAATAGGAAAGGTTTCTTTTCTACTAAGCATTACAGCTGTCCTTCTCCCCTTGGAAACTCTGCCTGCAATTAGTTCCCTAAGAGGGGGCTTGTCTGTGCCATTAAGAACAGTTGCGTTATGCGATCTAGGAGAAATCAATGTCTCTAATAGTCAGCAAAGGCAGCGGACGAAGACAGGGTGATGGGAGGGGTGTTTCTCTGGAGACATGCTTTCCAGGAGAAATCCCATGGGTATTGCTCCAGGAAGAGAAATAGTAAGGACCTGAAGTAATTAAACTTCCATGCAGCAATTGTTTACCGAGAGAAGCGCAGAAACTGTGCAGCGTCCCTCAGAAAGGCAGAGGCGAGATTCTCCACAGGTGTAGATGAAATGCCTCTGCCTTGAAGGCAATGGTCGGTGGTGATTTACACAACGCTGGCAAGTAGAGGGAGGAGGGGCGTGGGTGGTCACCTGCCCTTTGAAATACTCCTTTTCCTCTCTCTATGTTGGTATTTAAAGGTAAGACCATGCCTTGCAAGTTTTGAAGCATCTGCATTGTGTGGCATGATTAAGTTACTCCAAATGACGTCCAAGACATTTTAATATCCCGAGGTAACATAATCTTAACTCCGCATGCATCTTCCTCTTTCTCTTTTTCTCCATTTCCTCCGTCCTGTACACCTCTACAGTTCCAGGAACGACAAGGTACCTCGCTGGCTGGCTGTAATTGCTAAAACAGATCCCTAATGCTTTCTGCTTCTTCAGTTGCATTAAACTGCATCTTTAGAGATACAGCCCTGTTTATTCACGCTGCTCGTGTGGAAGGGGAAAGAAATGCAGACTGCCTCTTCCCCCTCCCTCCTTTGATTTGATGGGTGTGGCACGTTTAAACCTTTGCAGCCGCTGGCTCTCCGGCAGGCGCTGGGGTGAGGAGCAGAGGACAGAACGGGAGGGAAGCCGTCGGATATGGCTGCTGATGAATGAGAATCATCTCACCCACAAGTGGGAAACCTGCTTGCGGGTTATTGTTTAATCACTCACGCAATCCAATACCGAGCGCATACCCCCATAACGTCCATCTGTTCTAGTGTGCGGCGCATGCAACACTTGCATGTCTAGCCACCTTTCTAACTACCCACCTCCACGTACTACAGACCGCACCTCTTGCTAGCAATAAAGGTTAAGTTCAGTTTTTCAGAAATTCCTCGACCCAGCCTTTCAGTTATACCTCCTTTTAGCTCAATATTTTGTGGGCAAAGATTCAGAGGTGAAATCAAGTGTGGGCAGAAATGACAACACTAAGCTATCTGCATCTCTCACGGGCGGGCACAGTCAGCCAGACACTTCACTCTTCACATTGGCATTGCACCCACAAGAAAGAATAATCTGCTAGGTATGAGTGTGTGAACATATTTGTCTTTGAGGGGTGGGAGGATAGACACATACAAGCACACCTAGACATGAATGTGAAGAGATTTCTTCCACGCCCAAGCCTGTAATTTCAACATTTTGCTCTTTTGCTGCCAGAAAGGCGGGACACCAGAGGCTTCCCTAGAAAAATAATTTGAGGAGAGTTGTCTTTCTTTTGAGAAGGAAACTCCTGCCTGTGATTTCCATCCATCTTTTTCTCTCTATGAAAGGTCTGGGCGGGGACAGAGGAAGAGCATAAGCTGAAAACCAAGGTCTTTCTCTTCTCCAAATTAGAGCTTCCTTTGGTATATCACTAGCTTTGCTGACCCAACAGCTGTATAACCAGTCTGGCAATTTTGGTGTGTGGATGTGTGTGCAGTCAGGTACAGGAGTAGGAGTTGGGCTCTGAGCGCAGGAACATCCATGGAATATGCATGAGCAGTCACATTCAGGACATATGGCTGTACAAGGATCAGAAAGCACAAGTGAATGAGCGCATGTGTGTGCATATATGTGTGGTACAGATGCAGGGGACTGGAGAGTGGGGATGTGAGCAGCACATGCACGCGCAAAGGGGTGTGTACCATGCAGTGGATTAATATACGGATTGGGGAGAGAGGACTATGTGCGATCAAAATACCTGCATACCATGCATTTCTAAATACGTTAGAATAAAAATGACAGGAATAGCTCTATACAGATGTAAAGAACGATACATCAGAAGATTAATCAGGATCTTTAATGACCAACCTGTGATGGTATGGGCAAAATTATCCCCCTCCCCCAATAGCTCTCTCCTGACTCCAAAGAATCCAGAGCTACCTACTCTATTTTAAAATTTGCTGTGCACCTCCGCCCACTACTCTGTCACTCTGCCTCCCTGTCTGCCTTCCTTCTCCTCCTCTTTTCATCCCATATTTGCCAGCTGAACGTGCTCTGCTGGCTGGCTGCAACGTGTTCCCCCCCCAGCCATAACCACCTCCCTCCAGATTATAGTGAACGTATCATTAATTGCAGATCATTTGAAACCTGCATAGGGAAAAACAGAGAATGACGCAGGGTCCCTTTCTATCTCATTCGTCTGCCCCTCCCCATTATTCTACAAAATTGCTCCTTCATTTGATAACACACATATCTCCATTGAGAAATACACCTGAACCTGGATTTTCTTTAAACACTGTACTGTTCCACGGTAACATGACTTGTTTGCATCAGTGTGCTAGGCTATTGCTCCAGAGTACTGCAGTGCTATATTGTAAGAGATATACAAATATATGTATGCAAATATATAAAGAAAGTAACCATTATGGTTCTGTACTTAAGCCTGAGTCGAGCTTTGCACTCAAAGCAAGGACCAAAGCTCTTTGTCATTACCTACAGATCCTTAATTAGGGGAAGTTTCCAAAATTTCTTACAAAGATACCCATGGCCAGCTCCTGCCTCAAAGTTCCAATTGTGTAAATCCAAGATCCTCCCAAGGAAGTCCGAGGAGTTCAGCTAAATTAGGCTCTCTTAACGAAGAGCAGGTCTGGGCTTTCACATGAAATAAAAAGGGGAAGGGGAAGGGAAGTATGAGCTAAGTAGCTTTTTTCAATTTCATTATCATTCTGGACATACAATTTTTGTCACTGAAAACTAGCCACCACCCATATCTTCTCACCATCCTCATTCCCCATCAAGGAAAGCCATGTGGTACTACTAAAGAGAATGAACTGGTTTCCAACAGGTTCACACTATGAGCTTCTCTTATCCCACCCGAGTTCGGAGCTAGCAGAGGCGTGGTCCTCTGTCTCTTCACCAGCTGGTGCAGTTGTCTAACTCGTTGTAATATGAAGGGTATTGCAAAAAGGGTTATTCTCCTCCTCCCCTGGCTAATGCTTTTGTTATTAATTAATTGCACTTTTCATTATACATAAATGGGAAAAAAAAAAAGGCTTCAGGTTAATTCTTGCTCAGGTTGTTACAACACCAAAAAAAATGAATGTACCTGTCCTCTGAGCCACCTCACAGCACATGCACATAAAACATCTCTCATTCATCGGAGCTAGGAGCAATAGAGAGCATTCAGACCAGGGATCAAGGCTTACTAGGTATCCTCTCTTTTTTGGAATAAGATGAAGAATTGTTTCCTTTATATTCAAGGTAGAGTCACTTCTCATCACGTTTCCTCCCAGCCCCCCTTCTACATCCACACCCTCTGAAACACAGACCAAAAATCCTAAGCAATACCTCTGCCCACAATTTAAAAATATAATAATAGAGGGGAGATGGTAGCTCCCCAAATGTGGATGTAGGCCCCCCCCCCATCACCAACCCCGGAAAGGCAAAACAGTCATGCTGAAGGGTGTGAAAAGAGCCTTCAGTCGCAAGATGCTAAAGAATTGCAAAAGAGACATCTGCTGAAAGCAGTTGAAATTTCCTCCCCCCCCACCCCTTTTACCCCACAGACACCCAACAGCCTGGGAGATTTCTCAACCAAAAGAAATATAAAAATCTTCAGCTCTACCTGTTTTGTTCTTCTCATACAGCACAGCATGATCGTATTGTCCCCTTCCTTCCTTCTTCTTCCTTCCTTCTCCTCTCTCCTTTTCCTCTTCTCTCTCTTATCTCTCCCCCCCACCCTCTCCACTCCCTCCCTCCCTCCCTCTCTCTCTCTCCCTCTCTCACACACACATACACACGCACATACACACACACACACACACACCAAGGTCCCACCGCAGCCCCAGCAGCCCCCCCCCCAAGTCCCTTGCCAGCCTCATGAATAATTAAAATCTCCAATCTGGACCCAATTACCCAACGACTTTCCCACTGTACAGAGACTATACGGGGAAGGGGACACTGCAGACTGCAGCGGGGGGCGGGCTGAGGTGTGTCAGGGCGAGAAGGGGCTCGGCAAGGGCGTAAATCTGGTGAGGAGCCCCCGGCCCCATGCCCACCGGAGCAGCCAAAGCCGCGAGCACCCACCCAGCCACCACCAGAAGTGGGATTTATATGTTAAGAAAGCGTAGGGTGGGGTGGGGATGGAGGGGAGAAGAGGGAGTGGGGTTATTGCCATGGCATGCAGAATGTTTCATGCACAGGTGACGTACTGTAGGTGGGAGCTGTTAGCTGAAGGGAAATTGGAAAATATGTTAAAATGGCTGTTAAAAATCCCCCTCCCCCTCACCAGCATACCAGCAAACATATATGCACATGCTGTCTCCTTCACGTGTGCACGCACATACCGCGCGTGGCAATGTCCTGTAGAACAGACCAGAATGGGCAACTTTCTCTGTTATTCCCCAAGTCCATTCAGTAGGCTTCCTGTAGACAGAGAAAACGATACTCCTGTAACAAGAGTATTTTTTAATATTCTGCTTAAAAACAAGCTATAGAAATCATCCCTTTCCCTTCTACATATTTCTAAAGTAACTTATATGCCTAAGTAATTCCTAGGTCTATTGATCTTATGCCTCCAAATTTCTTTAAACTATTATAAGGAAGATGTGCATGTTCACACACAGAACCATCCCCCATGCACGTGTGGGAAAAAAAATATGGGTTTGCATGCATAGAAGATCATGGTGATGCAGGAGTCTGAGTGAACATTAATGCACACACACACACCCCCCCCCAAGCACACATGTCTTGAAAGTTATAACACTGTATTTTCTTAGCATATATATGAGCAGGATAGCTATATCTGTCACTGTGAAAAAATATTCCAGACAACATTTAAATCACAGCATGACAATGCTGAGCATGTTAAAAATATAAAAGGATTTCTGGATTCTCAGGATTACCTCCATCAAGATTCAAATTTAGCTTATCTTATTCAGAAAGAATCAGATTCTTTTCTTTGTTATAGCACTAATATCACTATATCACCTTCTCTACTACACCATGGAGTTACCTCTGATTTATTTTTAATGTAAAACAGCCCAAGAAGAAGAATTTTGTCTCAGGTTATTATTGAGGCCTTTTCTCTTTAAATATATATGAATACATTATTAAAAACAAATAGTCACACACACACATTTATACAAATAAACACATGCATATAGAGATATAGTTTCTGGAATACCACTCAGCGCAGACTCCTACATAATCATATTCAGTTGCTATGACATCATTGCAGTTCCCAGTACCCCATTTTTTTTAAAGGAAAGTAAATAGCATTTCAAACAAAATCTGTCTAGCTATCTACATCTGTGTGTAATTTAAGGGAAGTGCCTTGTAGGGTAGAACAGGTATCAGTGTTAGTTCTGGTTTTACAGTCTAGAAAAGGGAAATAATAGCATGATAATGAGATTCAGAGAAGATACTAAACTGCGAAGAGTTGCAAACATCAGCTGACACAGAAGTAATATACAGAGACCAAAGGATTAAATAACAAAATTAGATTTTGAAAATGCATGCAGAGAAAAAGATGGTAAATTATGCAATCATAAAAGAAGATATTTAAGAAATGGTGCAGCAGAAAGCAATGGACATCAAGTTAGAGAAAGGTGTTTGTGTGGCACACATCACTACTGGCAACACCGTGCCAAGGCGCTGAGGAGCAGAGGAGCAGTGCAATGGCATTTTGGAATATGCCTATGGGACTTAGGAGCCTCTGCCCCAGCTTCAGAAGTGGCTGAGGACTCATCTCCATGAGGAAGTTAGTGCGTCATGAGCTCGCATGCACTTGCTAACCCACAAGATTGCTCGGTGCAGCCTCGGGAGGTGGGACTTATCTGGCCAAATGTGCGCATCTCTATCTGAGAGCATCACCACAGACTCCCTTTGATGTCAATGAAGAGAAATGAGAACTTCTAGGGTGTGATTCAGATCATCCTAAAGCAGGATCCTAAACTAGGTCAGATGAATCATGCTTCAGAAGTGTTTTAGAAGCTTGTTTTCTTCCCACTGACAAGGCCTTTTAGGGATCCTCTGTGTGCAAGGGAGTCCTGGCAAGGAAAGCCTGCCCGGCCCCCATCTTTCCCAGACGCCCACTCAGAGAGGGAGCAAACTGGCAACAGAACAACTGCATTCATGCAGCCAGCTATGGTCAAGCCAACTTCCTGTGCACACCAGGAGTGGTGTCTCACCACCTTAAGTCAGACCCAGACTATTACCTCTCTTCATGCCCAGTACCATGGCACTCTGTTCTAGCCTACTGCAAATCACTTCTGTCACATAGACAAGCCCTTGGTAGGTTCTCAGTGCATGTGCGTTAGTAGTGAGGGGCCAGTCCACCACAAAGTCACCTCTGAGTTTCCTCTGAATTACTTCTCACATATGACAGCCATATGCTAAGACCCAAATTTTATTTAAGCATAGTCCAGGTCCTAACATTCCTTTCCTTTGAATCAAGACCTTTAAGTAGTTTTAAAAGGTGGATTTTAAATTCTTAAGCCAGTTAAATGCTTTTGAAAATCATACACCAAAGTCCCTTGCTCTGCCATTTTGGCTATGTCACCACTTCAACCTAACAATGTAGAAGGAAAGAAGAAAGAGTCCTGCAGTGAAAGGGCCAAAGAGAATTAGAAACCTGAGTTAGAAACTTCAGACAAGATATTAATGAATCTCAGAAGCAAAACACAAGGGAAGGAGAAGTGGTGAATCCCCATTTCTTGATGTCACCAAGTCAAGATGGGATGCTTTTATCCAAATGACAATTCTGTCTCTCCACTGCACTGCCTACGCTGGCTCTTCAACACTCCTTCACAGTTTCTGGATAACACTGCATCGCACAGTGTAGATATGCCCTGAAAGGCCCTTTTGACCTTGGCTTTTGAATCTACATAAATAAAAGGAAGAACAGTTCCAAAGAACAACATGAATGGGGGAGCCAGGGAAGGGGCTGACAGGAGGAGGTGAATAATGAACATAGATTGTGAAAGCTTCATCTATGAGACTGGACTAAATGACAGCTAAGAAGGTGAAGAAGTGTGATATTTTCGAAAGCCACAAGGCTCAAGAAGGAAGAAGAATTATTTGAAGTCGTACAAAACCTGCTGCTTGCTGTATGCTGCATGTTCCTTCTCTGTGAAGAAGGGTATGGTTTGTGTAAAGTAATTATTAAGATTACTCCTTTAATTCAAAGCTATGTTTTCAGCTTAAAAGGGTTCAGATCATTACAAACTAATGATATGCATTAATGATTGCTACAAAATACACTGTGTGGACTGAGAGACCCAAACCAGCCCTTTTTCCCTGTTCGATTCTGCTGCAAGGCTCAGCAGTGCCTGAAGCTACCCCAGTGATTCAGGGTCTGTACTGGTTTAAGGAAAAATGTCTTCAGTTCAGCTGCTATTTCAAGTTCAATAGCAAAAGCTCAGATTCAGCTCTGGTTTGGAGAACCAAAAAGTTTGAACCAGCTTCTAGGACTGTAGTCAAGCTAATTCCCTTGTCAGAATAAATTAAATGAAACCAAGAAAGAGGAAGTTAGTTTGCCTGGAAGAGCCATCCCAGTGGTAAGCAAGCTAAGCTGAAGAGGCGTTTCTTCAAGAGAAGTACTGTGTAAATCCCTTTACTAGGGATATTTAAAGCTTCAGTAAAAACAGTACCGAATTGAGCGACTTGCTTTCATTGGGAGATAGACTGGGTTTTCTCCTTATTCATATGTTCCACATACAGTGGTAGCCTCGCCTTTTGTTAGCCAATTTTCATGCTGAAGGGAAAAAAGCCAATTTTATAAAGATCTTTCAGGATCTTCATTTGAATAAGCATTCCTGAAAATCCCACTGCGGGCTCAGTTGCATTTTTAGGCACCTAAATAGCTTTGCAAATCTGGTCTCATATAGACTCACTTTCATTCATCTATGCCTTATTGACACAAAATAGTGCAGTGCTACAATGTGACTAAACTCATTTTTTTAAACTGATTTAGATATATTCATAAACCTCCCTGGAGGAGTGCCCATACTTCAGTATGGGGATGACTTATTTCGGTTTACCTTGGATTTAAGTTAATCCCAAATTATTTGAAAGAAAAAAAGGAAAAAAAAGATAGCCTACTTTATTTTGATGTAAGACTGTCCACACACAACAGATTGAAATAACTGGCATAGAAAACCATGATTTTCTAAAATGACAATGCCCCTTACTCTTGCAGAGAGGGCTTCAGAAAATGCCAGTCTCCTTTAATGACTGCTGGTTGCTCATCCTCTGCAACAGTGAACACACATGGCATTAGCACTTGTTGCCATCATGCTAGTCATAGATTTTCACAGGTGCTCTACATTTATTCCCTGTGATTTCCTCTTTTCTTCTCATGCCTGCACAGCTGAGATCACAGCACTGAAGACACCTGACTTTACAATAGGAAACATAATAAGAAATGGCCTCAATAGTTTCCTTATGTTTTACCACTCTTGGAAAAAATGTGTTTTCTCTGACTTGTGTGGCATACACAAACCAGGTGGAAGCAAGGGTAGAAAGATTTTGACATGCACAAAGTATGGCCTTTTCAACCCCCAGGTCAATGTTAATTATTGTTAAGCTTCAGAATCATCAAAAACGCAAACACTAGCAACAGTTAAATCCCAGCACAGCTTAGTGCTGAAAACCATAACTCTTCAATAAAATGAAATCTCATCTGCTTGTCTGTCAAGAAGAAAAATGTCATCACAGAAAGCAGCCAGCC